CGAGTAGCACAGATTGGGTGGCAGAGGTCGAATTAAATGCCTGAACCAGGGCGATAGCAGACGTATTCTATGGGACAAGAGGGAGACTGTGGTAATACCTAAGAAAGGAGGACTGCGTAACAATATGGCAGACTCTGATCGACATTCCCAGAGTAAGGATGAAGGGGGGTGAGAACGCTAGCGTGGAGTGCGGAGGATTCCCATGAAAGTCACTTAAAAGCAAGGAAGAAAACAAATTTTAACAGTGAAGGTGTGATAGGAGAATATAGAAAATGTGAATAGGCTAGAGCAGAATAGGAGATCCCACAACTGTTTACCACACGTTTGGTCAAAGGATCGGCTTCACTTGTCTCTTTGACAAGTTGTTATGTGATGCTAAGAATGGCGAGACTCACGGACGATACAGATTACGATGCCAGGGAAGCGTCTGGGAATATACAACGTCCGCGGTCCGACTTTGGAAATGATCATGCATACAAATGACTCCGGACTAGGCACGTTCCCTTTAAGTCTTCCTACCAATGTGACCAAGTTGCGAAAACAAGGTCAAACAACCTCTATACAACGAAAGGAAACTGCAACCACACAAAAGGCCACACCATCTTAGTCTTCATACCTACGAAAAAAATCTATAGTTTGTATAATAGTTTTAAAAATTCATTTAGAAACGGAAGATCTATGGTTTATATTAACTGAGAAGCTAGAAGTGGATCGCAGGCTTTCGGAAAAGAAAATTTTCAATATGAAGAAGCTTTAATGATCAAAATAGAAACAGGCTCTAAACTAAAGTGGCAAGTTGATAGCAAGAAATACCCATCAATATGATTGGTTTATAATAGGAAAAATCTAATCAAAGTAGTAATTTAGCGTGTTGATTTCAAATAACAGTAAATTTATTATTTAAACTGTTTGGAATAGGATATGACTTGGTAAAAATCATCGATAAAAGTCCGCTATAGTAAATTAATCGAGATCAGAAGATCGCTGGCTTAAAAGTAAGCAATTTCTTAGATACGGAGAAGTGAACAAGTAGTGATAGAAACCCTTAGCAACTTGCAACCCTGTACATATAGAGGTGACCGTGGTAGTCATTATCGTCATCTTCCATCATCAGGAAAAAAATCCGAGTTCAATCCTTTGTGATTGACCTGTGTTCGGCCACTTCTGACCGCTGGAACTAGCCGTCTTTACTAGTATTTTTGTGTTGTGAGGGGATAGAAACAATGTTCAAAGAAAACTAACATTTTCTTTGGTTATGGAATCGTTTAAAGAGAAACATCACCCATTATCGAGATCCGGCTGCTGCAAGATTGTGGTCTCCTGTGATCGACCTTAAGTTGATGAGATATGTTGTAATATTTGCTAAAGATTAGAAGACAAAAATGCTAGTAAAGACAGATGGGCCCAACGGTCAGAAATGGTCGAACACACGGGCCAGAGGCTGATCATGAGCTATAATAGTCTCAAATAGTCTCAAATAGGTTTGCTAATTATGATACGTCAGTAGATACGAAGAGAAACTGGGTTTCGATGAATCTCCTGAGATAACATTGTTGGAGGACTTTCATTTCGTAAATGTATGAAGAAGAAATTCGTAGGTCGATCTCACCAGAAGAGGAAGGATGAATCCTGTTGTACTGCAGCTGTTTGGCTTTTATACGACGTTAAGTTTGACGTAGTCCACGAGACCTCCTCCTTCGTTTCGGGTGAAAACGGGCTGAGCTTTCGTCCATCATATGATGGGCATCATCAGAG